TTAATAAATAAAAACTTGAGGCACAGGCACAGGCACAGAGAATCATTTCAACCAGTAGTATACTGCTCGGCAGTAGTATAACCCAAGCATTGGTCAGACATACACTCAAATGACCACACAGCTCAGTCAAAGAGATAATTTAACGAATGAAAAATATGAGTGAGCATTTTTAAACGAATTCAGGGGATTCAGGTTGTAAATGAAAAGTGACGAGAATGACAGAACGCGTATATGAAATTTAAGTAGAGCACATAAATGATTTACGCGAGACATCGTATTAGTTTAACTCCCGCATATGCAATTTATTCAAAAATAATCCCTATAATATATTATCTCCCTCCTCTCCAATTTCGAATTGCAAAATCGTTGCTTTATCGTGCAGCAATTTTGCAAACAATAATTTGCACCGCTGGATTATTCCGCGACGAATACAGGATTTTTGTTCATTCATAAAATGAAGATCAACGGGCTAATATAGTCATAAGCGTATATAAAGAGGATTAAGAAATATATGCACAGCGACGAAAGAGATACGCGGAAGGTTTTTAAGCGTGTTAATTCACTGGGAATAATTCTGCGTTTAAAAAGGATACGGACGAATATCACAGTTATTTCAACTTACAACGGAGAAAGGAATTAATTGTTACCTTTATTCGTACTACTGAAAAAAGAGGTACAAAGAACAAAAGCGTGGAGGAGTCAAAAGAAAATTCTTTAACGACTGAAAAATGAGAATGTTATGTTAGAATAAAAACGCAATTAGAAACGAAGAAAAAGGTATCTATATCGATTTAACGGGAACTCAAAGTGATACGTTCATTTTCGGATCGTTAAACATATCATTAACGAAGAGTCGACTTCCGGTGATTTGAAATGTAGAACGAATCGAAAGAGGCAGCAGGCACGTTACTTATTTAACCGGAATATATTAATTTTCGCGGAACAGAGGACCACCGGTGGTGCGGTGAATAAATTTCGATACTGTTCGTACGCCTATAAGTTCACCGCAGGAGTCGGAAGTTTCGAGCCTGCTTGATGCTTTTTGCGCTGAAACCATACCTCTACCTACCGTCCATCCCCATCAACTCAAATTTCCCACTTCAATCTGTCCGGAACTCGAGCGCTTTTCCGCGGCTTTGATAATCGTTAACCGACGTCGTGTTTTTTATCCCCGTCCCAAGGGAAATTTTTTGAGTGCTTATCTTACGCCACGTAAGGTTGGTGGAAAAAATTTAACAAAATTGCTAGATCATTAAAAGCTTCTATTTTACCTTGGAGTGTATAAGGTTTTCCAGGCTTAGATTCTGAACAAGACTTGGCTTCTGGGATGGAGCCGCGTTGGTTGATGGTTTGTTGTTGACGTTTCGTAAACTACTGAACGGAGTCAGTATCAGGTTGTCCCTCGCGCTGAAGAAGTAAACTGCAATGTTTACGAAACGTCGGCAACCAACCGTGAACCAACGCGGCTCCATCTCGGAAGTCAAGTCTTATTGGAGTGTATGTTTGAAATTAAACATATTTATCAAGGTTTCAAAAAAGCAACGAACGATAATATCCTTTGGGATCTTGCAAAACGTGTAGGGTACCGACAAGCACAGGCACGTACCTGTTTCATATTATACGTCGATGTCGAGAACCGAAACGTGCCTGTTATTCCGTCCTTCAGGGTTGAAAGTGGATTACGTTGCTTGTACTTGTTTAAATTCTGAAAAAGTCAAACGTCGCTTGATTCCTTTCGTCCGACGCGCAGAAACTTTTCCCATTAAAATCCCCGCCACTCGAACGAACAAACGAAAAATGAGCACGCCAGAAGAAAAGGGAGTCACTCGTTTCTCTGCTTCTCATGCATGTTTTGAATTCTTTTCCCAGAGGAAACTTGCGGTTAATTTTGACTCCAGTACGAAACGAAAGCATTCATTTTCTTTTCTATTTTTTTGGGGGGGGGAGAAAAAGAAACTGTAACTTGATCGAGGATCTGAATTCCCTTTTTGCTTCTGTGTCAAGTACATCTGGGTACGAGAAGTTTTCGCGTTATTCCTTTTGGCTAAAGTGGAAATGGTCTGTTTAAATTGGAAAGGGACAATGAAGAAGTTCTCTCCAATTTTCTCTTCAGTCACTTCGTTCTTTAACGCGATGATTGTCAAGAACGATGACCAGTATTACGGGCTAGATTTAGTCGGGAAATTGAAAAATGAAGAAACGAAGAATATTTGGAATTTATGATCTGCAGAAAATGAGAAGGTAAGGAGTGGAAGTAAACCCGAGGTAGGATGTTGAATTTGACCTCGTTATTGCTGTTCCGTATCGTAAAATTTTCGAATGGCCGTCGATGTTAGATCGAATTGCACGGGACGAGGAACGTTAGCGAACAAAATATTGCACGGTCGATGGCGCGACTTAACAAGAACGTCAGACGACCGATCGATCTCGGACAAATCGGTTTGCAGCAATCTCGGACAAACGCTCGCATCAGCCGCCAGAATCAAGGGAGGAAAAAAAAAAAGAACTTCTACGCGGATATAAATCCTTCGGCGAACAGAACACATCGATCGGCACTTTATCTTCTCGTCGAACGTGTCGGAATCATGGGCCAGCGGAAAGATCGCCGTAAACTTTTCACGATTTTCTGGAAGTCTCCCGAACATGAAAGAGTCTTACTATTTTTACTGTTAATCGAGTAGAATTTACTGTCGGTTGTATTTCTTGAAAAATAGTATTGAAAATCATTGAGGACCAAAGATTTCGTTTCATTCGTTTAAACTAATATTAAGGTGATATTAATTATCAATTGTAAATAAGATTGTACTATGGAACAGTCTGAATAAAAATAAAAAAATAAAAAAAGAAGGATTGCATTGAATGTGACAGATTTAATTCCAGTTCCTGTTTTTTTTTTTTCACTCACTGTTTCTTTATATTCTGTGAACCCAGGCCGGAATTTAAATGAAGTCGATATAATGCCATTACGAGTTTCAACCGCTAGCCTGGTTCCCTTTATTTTTATTCCAGGACACACGCTACCAGCTCCAGGGGATCTTTTTGGTTTCGTTCAATTCTCATCGTTCGAATATTTCATTGCTGGAAGTGGATTCAAGTTTGAATCGGAATAATTTCGATTACCATCGGATAATAACTTTCACAAACGTTTCATTAATGAAATTGAATTTTGATTATAATGATTTCGTTCGACAGAATGAACTGCGATTAACCTGAACATCCACGTCTGACAAACGATTGACCTATACTACTTGATACCTTCATTTTCGCGGAATTCCTTAATTTAACATTCTCCGTTCAAATTTCTGGCTATGATACCTTTATTTAAAGGTTTTTTGTTAGTGTATCAGTATGATTATTTAAATTTTTTCCACTTTCGATTTTCTACATCAAAGAGGATATTGATTATTCTAAATTTCGCTTTAAGCTTTCAATTAATTACCCTATGCTATTAACATTATAACAACTGGTATAATTAACGTGATATTGATATTATTACTAAGTTTCCAATCTGCTATGTTCCATTAATATGTATAATACCGGAGACATAATTGGCATAATATTAATATTACGACAATATTAGCATTGCTCCAATCTTTCTTCCCTCATCCCTTTTTCAATAATTTTATTAAACGCGTAGTATTGGTTATCGGTGATCCCGATTGCAGGTCAACCCGTTAAAACGAAATAGCAGCTGGCCGAAACAACGGAACGCCAATTTCACGTTATCAAAGATCAAATAAAAATTTAATCGTGCGTAAGCCCCGTTTAAAAGCCCCCACAGGGCGTCCAATTAATCTCGTCGAATCACTAACACGCGTGCCTGCGTTAAACGGCTAATTCGACATTAAACACCGTGTTTTCCATTACGGAAACACAGTGCCGCTCGTTCATCACTCTTTTATATTCACCGCGAATACGTAGCAACGCATTACAGTCGGATTATCCCCGGGAAAACGATTATACCAATCCTGAATGGTAGCCAATTTTATTTTCACGGTTCGAGTTTCCTCGACCCTTCCGGGATGTCGATTAAACCTTTCTATACCGAGTAAATAAAGTCGACCGGGATAATCGGATCGTACGTTCTGTTCTAATTGTTCAACGTAATTAGGGCCACTCGCAGATTTTCTTCGAACCATTTCGTTCGAAATTATATCAATGAGATTCTGTTCAGCTTACATTTCAACGTAATTAATTGTTACGCTAATGATGGCGTTAATAATTAAGCTTAAGATTATACGAAAATATTCTACATTCGAATACATCATTTTATACGGTTATAAATTGTTATAAACCGAGTATAAACAAATCTCGTGATACGATTCAACGACTACGAATAGAGGGCAGTATGACACTACTCACCCAGAGAAGCTCTTCCATTTGATTCATTAACTAATACCACGCTGAGGAATATTTAGCATTCCTCGTCCACTCGACGGTGTTTGCAGAGTTGTTGAATGTGCACCGAGTTCCATGTTGAATTTGCAGGAAGTTTCGGGACATCGTAGGCATGCGTTGTCGCGATTGTCCGCTAGATATATTAATCAAATACGCTTAAACTGTCGTGTTTGAAAAAAAACTAAATCTTGTCAGCCAATGAAAATGAGAAGTTCTTGCTCGATCGGTCTTCGATGAATCTATTCCTTCAAATAAGAATATTCGGGGATTCGATTTAATAAAAATAATGAAAATTAATTTGAGAAACCCGTCTATCATCCGTTTACCTTAATTCTTCCCGATGACGTCCCCGATTTTCCATTTCGTTGTAACGAAAATGACAGCAGGAGTCCGTTTCCAGGCTGAATGAAATCGACGATCACTGTGGAAATGAAAGGAATGAAAAGAAGGTTGAAGGAGCAACGAAACAATTTTCGGTCGAGCTTTTTTTCTGAAAACCGTAATTGTCCCTGGTAATGATATCAAGCCAGCGTGAATTATTCTTGGCCCGATTCGGTGAAATACCTCATCGTGTCCCGAGGGAAATGGCGTTCGTAGTGGTGCTTTCAATTCGTTTATTTAATAACTCACAATTGCTTTACATATACAGCTTCGAAACGGACGCGTCCAGCCGCCCCTTTTAATTTATTCCTTTTCATCTTCATCACTCTTTCTTTCGATATTCATTCTTCTTTTGCTTATTCACGACTAGAACGCGTCGAGTTTACTTCGTCGTTTACGTTCTTTACAGCGGTGATGTCGATAAGTGCGAGGGACTTTATGGTATTATGTTATCTTATCGTAGTATGGTTTTATATAGAAACAACTATACAACTTATTACTATAATTAGTGGTAATACCTTCTCTCTCTCTCTTTCTCGTGAATCGCAGGTGGGAGCACGTTCTGATACGATTCATTTTAATATTCTTTTCTAAGGTAGATGGTCCATCCTTAATTTTATTTTACTAACACCTTGATTACCACTTCATTTTTATTTTTTAATTTCAATTATAATAATAGAAATAATAGATCAAATTTTGTGGAAATAAATATACTTCATCTGATGAAAATTTTAGAATATAGTAAACATACCTCTACCGTGGTAATCAACGTGCCAATTGAAATTTCGAAGACAAAGGAACAAAAGAAGGAACGAAAGAAAGAGAACATTTGCACCTGGAGGTAGGTATTCGCAAGAGAATTCATTTACCATGCAACTTTTCTAAATAAACACTGATTCTGGAATACTAGACAACGTTTCGTTGTAACTCCGGCCATAATAACGAAACAGCCGATGCTTCCAGGCCGAACAACGTAACTGGGAGTCGTTGATTAAACATCTGAACGGATCAACTGTTGCGGTGAATGCATTAGTATAAATTAGACTATGGCTACCATATCGCGCTTGTTCCCCTCTTGGCAACAACAATTTCATTTGGCAAACGATACCATTTTCGTTTCTATTGTTTCAATATTCCCTCTCTCGTACAACGACCATCTTCGCGATTCAATTTAGACAATACGCCTCGGTTACGAATATTCGCCGAACTGTTTTATAAAATTATAACGAAGGCGAATCTTCCTTTTTATCGTTAATTAAACGGACTGAATGGTACGATGTTCGTTAGCACACTAATAATTTAATACTGCTGAAAGAATTTATAATTAGTAATCAATTAAAGTTGTTCATTTTCTAAATACTCAAAGTGACTAATTAAAGGCAAGAAAAATCACCGCTACGATTCTGTCCGAAACTTGTTTCCAAGTTTGCCATTACGAAAAATGTCCAATTACCGTTGGGTCGCGGTTATACGGAAACGGGAATCGTCTGGCCGAGAAATTGGTACTTCGATTGTGACCAAATTCTCGTAGCAAGGGGTAGCGTATTCGTGGAATGCAGCCGGTAGCAGGAAGATCAGACCGGAACCGTGGGAAGAATGTGCAATTGCATCTGACCAAAAGGTGCTTCCGGATCCGCTGTATTATTGCGAATACCAAGTTCGTACGTATCGCGATGGGGCATTCACGGTTTTCGGTTGCAACCCCATGCATCGGTAAATTATATTTTCCAGGAGATTTCAGGGACGAACGAACCGGAAATTGACTCGAGTGCCACCGCATTCGATGGCAAAGGTCAACTGCAATTTCATTGTAAATTAATTTAATAATTGCTTGGAGACTGTTCGGTTTGTTATATGGTAATGTAGTTTAATGAAATTTATGTTATACGATGATGATGAAAATTGATGAGCAATGTTAAAATTGGGTAACAATCAGTCGATTTTAATTAATTAACTGTAGAGGTAAATTTCTACGTACACTATCAATCATTTCAAGATTCGATCATCGGGAAATTGCAGAGTACCTTTACCAAAATAATACACGAAAACAGTTTTTGCAAGCTGGCTATAGCGAACTAGAATTTCTCACCATTTTTAGAGATACTATGATCCTGACATCACGCTGACAGTACAATTTCATGAAAACCTGACGCGAGCATTGCGTGACTATGTTTTTTTTTATCTCGTGATGGAAACGAAATTAATATCTTGTCAAAAAGAAAATTCCTTCTTGCTTCTGTAAAAAATCTATAAGAATTCCAATCGGAACACGCTGTATCTACGTTGAAGAATCAAATGTAACCGGTTGAAAACAATCGGTTCAAAGATCCAAACATAATTCTCTGGTGTGTGGAATTACAATACCCATGGTCGAGTGAAAACGAAATTCTACCCGTCTCCGTGACACAGTTGTACAATTCTCAGCGATGTCGAGCCGCGCGTAACATTTCCTGTCGCATCCTGTTGCCGCATTGCAAACATAATCTCATTACGTGGCCGACAAGCCCCAAAACTCGGACTGGACCATCACCCTGTTGTTCCCTTAACACTACCCATATTTAACGCGCCTATGTTCAGCACGGAACAACCTTCGTTTCTATATATCACTTAAACTCAAACCAACAATTTCATCCTTAATGATTGGGGTAAAATTGAAAAGGGGATTTCTCTCATTTCCACATGAAGCGAAACGACTACGAATTTCAAAGGAACACGGATCTCTGTAAAATCGGTGCTCCCATACCTGCTTGCCATTTCTTATGAAACATTCATGAGTTAAAGCAATTCGTTCGTTTCGAGAATACATCTCGTCCACGCCTACTACTCGATCGCAGGTATCGTCTCCCTTCTCTATCTACCGCCTCGTTGAATATATTTTAATAAGATAACAAGAAGGAACGCCATATTTACATATAAAAATATAATCTTATCGCGATCGATCGGGCCTATTTATAATATGTATAGATCGTGCACGTTAATATGTAGAGATAAAATCATTTTTCTCGAGCCTTGATACGTTTTCTTTTTCCTCTTTCCATGTTTCATGTTACAGAACATCATATCCCGATCACGTTTCACGTTTCTAACGCTTACGGCGAACAGTGAAAAGGAAAATGGTCGAAACGATGGATGCAACATGTATCATTCTCCATGATCGCGGTCGCGATCTTTAATCGGCGAATCACGAGTATCGTGCTCGTGATTCCATGAAAAGTCTCTTCGTATTCGATCAACGGAAAAATGGAACTGGCCTGATTCGATCCGCTGTCAACTGATCCGATTTTATATTCTGTTCTGCGTTCGGAACCAGAGGATTTCGAACGGAATGCATTATTTTTTCTTTTTTTTTCAGGTGAATTTACGAGATTTTTGCAGATACTCTTTGTACAACTGGACGCTACGAAAAGCATCCAAAATAAAAAAAAAGATAGTGGAATGTACACGTGTTCGACAGAAATCCCCCCGGGGCAACAAATTGAATTATTCTCCGAGGATATTGCAGTACAGTCCTTGATGTCCTGGAAGTTCGACTGGAGGAGCACTTCTTCGGTGGAAAATTGCACGTTCTATTGCCTTGAATCCCGGCTTCGAGGAGTGCTGTTACGTTGATCCTTGGCGTGCTCTGTGTGCCAGCACTCCCCTCTGCCTTGTATCACGGATATTGAAGACGCTGGCACGGTTTGAATAGCGAGTTCTCGGATCATCAGGAAACGCGAAAAAGAAGGGAAGAATGGGGAGAAAGGCTTGTACATTTAAACAGCGTTCAACTTTGGACCAGTTCCCTATTTTCCCGTCGCTTCGCATGGATCATTCTTTGGCTTTCAGTAAAACTTCACGTAACTTCACTTCCTCTATCCATATATGTATGCATATATAGTATAAATAAAATGGAATGAAATGGTAAATACGCGTTATGTACATTCGATCCTTCATGCCAATTTTCCAACCCTAGTCTTTTCCATATCAGGTGATTTCAAAAGATTATTAAACAATGATTTTCATTTTAAAGCGAGAAAATGATGGAAAAATTTCATAGAAAAGATCGACAAAGACTTATGAAATGACCTGATATTTCCTTTCAAATTATATTTCCTCTACGTGAAGGTGTTCTTCTTGATTAATTTTTCGAAATTTTGCGTTTAATGATAGTTCGTATTGGAAAGAATTGAATATCAAAGTTAACGATTAATTCCGCTCGAGCTGAATTGAAAGATATCCTAAATATAAAAGCTTGAGAATTGGTCAACGATTTCTCAGCTCTTTCTTCTCCTTTCAAATACCATATTTCTGAACTGGAAATCCTGTCTCGTGAATGGCGGTTCGCGTAAATCGGAGTTTCGTGCCGTTCAAACCAGGCGAATGCATCTTTTTGTTCGAATAAGTACCGTCTTCCTTGAGCAATTCATCGTATTCAACTATCTTTGCTTCCCGTCCCCTTTGGCGACGATCGTCCTCACTTTCCGGACCCGGAAGTTTCTTTTTTCCTCGCCGATCCCGTGGCGAGGAGCAACGGATTGGTATACAAACAGTTCGTCGAAGATAAACGAAAGGAAAAGGGACAAGGACGAAAAGAATTCTGTAGAAATCATGCGCGATGATTTATCGCAGAAAAATGGTAAGAAATAATAATTAATTATTGAAAATAAAAACTTGATAAGAAACTCTGAACCAACATTTCTCTGGGTAAACATTGAAAATGAAAAATTTTCCGAGTACAAAGTTGCTAAAGTATAGTTGAAGAATTTCTTAGTTCTTCAAGTTAAAAATTGGAAACTTTGAAGGAAATTTAATATCCCATAGGATCTAAGTTAACTAGAACTCGTAAATTCGAATTGGTCTGTTTTTTAACATCAAAGTAGAGCAAATTGTTCTAGTGTTAAAACAAGGGTCTCTCGATGTAGACTTAGCGTTCAATTAAGGAATGTGTACCACTTTGGTCTCTAAGAGTTTCTTGAGTCGATATATTCGACAAGTGTACTCGCAGTACTGAAGTTTCTCAGAGCTCAGACGATGGACTTCCTGATTGTTCCACTTGGTAGAACTGTCAGTGCCATTACATTAACACTCGAGCGATTACTTGTATCTCCGAGTTAACGACATCAAATAAATTCGAATTCTTCAAGTGAAGTATTACAATGCGATAAACCATTCACGAGGTACCGAGATCTCGATTAAATTAAGGACTTGCCCGAATCGCAATCAAGAGGAAATATAATTAGAATGTTAAACTTACCAAACGATCGATAATCCTTCGTTTCTTCCAACAAGATTCCTCTTAACAGATGATAAATCTCTGACTAAATCCTATCGAAGTAACACGTCCTTCATCGTTCTCACTCGACAAGCATACACTAGCAGATAATCTTCAAGACTGTCCACGCACTCTAGAGTGTCCGGCTAAATTAGACTGTACAATAATGGCCCACTTTTATAACGGCGATCATTCCCAGGCGAAGAAACAGAGACATTCCGATGCTGATTGAGCTGATTCTTCGAAACAAAAAAAGGATCACCGAGTCCTTCGCTACTGATCGATCGATTAAAGATGAGATGTTATTAAATGTAAAAACGATTCACCGGCTTATTTTATGCAGCCGAATCCTGATCAAGGATCGAACAGGATAATCAGTGTTTTAGTCCTTGATTTCACGCCGATGTGTTCGTAGCTGCTCCTGTCCGCGTGTGAAATGCCAGAGGACCTCTCGACGTTGTTGAAATAACCTGCAACAAATTTAATTATTTCATTAGTTATAATTATAAAATGAATTCAAGTATTCTTCGTCATCGACTAGAGGCGTTAATACTCGAACGATCTTGCGAGAAGTTTTTCGGGTAATGTATTCATTAGGTACACGGAGTAAATGGTCCACTAAACGGTTTAATCGATTTACCAGGCGTACGCGAGAGGAAGTTAAGGCTCCGTAAAGTTAAGGCTTACTTGCACAACTCGGCCGTATAAACTATATTCCGTGACACAAAGTTCGCGAAATCTGTTGCACACGATTACCTCTGGCGAACGCATTCCCGAACAATTTCTAATTAGACGACTCGAACGTCGGAACCCTCTCTCTCTCGATTAATTAAGATAGAAGAACGAAACGAATGCTAAATAGAAAGGGGCTGTAACAGGGTAGAACGGTATAAAAGCGAAGCAACGTATTAACAGTGAGAGAATAAAAAGAACGAGGAAGATGAGATTCTTTTTTACCGGCTATAATCCGTTCCATTTTCGTTTTTCACGGTTATTTGTAGGAGGGTTCGCGCAACATCAACGAAAGCTTCTCGGTCGTCCTGTGTGTTAAACGGTCGAAAATGAAAAATTCAAAAGCAGCAGCGGACCGAGTCGCGTCGGTAGTGTGTTATTATGAATTTCAAGCGACTTCGTTACGACGAGACCCTGGGTTTCGATCTGAAATACGAGCGGTATCTTGGTTCAATCTCCCGCTGAGATTGAAGCACCGGAGGGATGTAACTTCGAATATGAATATATTGAACAGAAGAGCGCTCGTGTTACTGGAGAACATGGAGAATTGTCAGGGATACATACATAGACTGGGAAGGTGTACGCGGTTAGATTGCGATTCTCGCCGAGCACGAGTGTCTGCGAAGACGTAGCTTGTGTGCGAATCGTCGTAATGGATATTTCGGCAGACAGAGCTGTGTGCAGTTACACAGTTTAAGTGTGCTCCATTTGAATGCATCAATTATTCATTTTCCACGGCAAGTTAGCTTCGTCTCGCATCGATTGATCTAAGTATTTCGATTCGGATTTATTGTATCACCTGTGACTCGAAAGAATATTATTTTCAAATTTTATTTATTATTATATTTATTATATAATAGATGCGAATAGACCAAGGTTTTCCTAAATAGAACGTTATATTTTGAAAAGATTTCGATGAAGTGCAAATGAAATGGGCAAGTAACGTTCAAGTAAGATAACATCATCGAAATGATACAAGTTCGGCTCGGATTCAGAGACGGAAATCGATGCACGAGCATCACGAGCGCATCCCGTACACTCATTTATCACGGTGTCAGTACGGCAACCGCATAAATCAAACGAAACGCGGCCAACTATGGATACATCCGAATCCACGACGCAACGGCTCTTTTAAAGTTCAACGTTCGAATGCGTTCCGTTCTGACGGAACAAAGGCATTGTCTTCGTAACATCCGTGGAGAATTCAGCCTTGACAATACTAATGTTTCTCCTATAGTTATCGCAAGAGTGTTTGAACGCATGCCACGTTCGAAATTACTGATGTACGGTGATTGAAGCGGGAAGCGGATTAGAATATCTCTTGTACAGTTAGACTTCATTGGTGGGGATTCTGCAAAAGCCGTGTCTGCGTGTCACGATTGCAGGATTGACGGGTGTATAAAAACAAAAAAAAAAGGCAAAAACGAGGAGGGAGAAAATTGAAAATTCGTAGTCGTTCGGAGAGAAAACCGGTGACGAGGATAAAGCGCGTTCGGACAATGGAGCGTCGGTTATAACTCTTTTCCCAGAGATTTATGGAAGTTTGACAAGTGGACGTCGAACTTCTATCACCGTAACCCTTTCGGACTGGCCCGTAAACTCGTTAAATATTTACTCGCAGCACGTGGATTTGCCGATGAAAGAGAACTTTCAGACGACTGTGAAAATTTAATGCCTTCGACGCGATGCCTAGCGAATTTCGCGACGAGTTTGTTCATTTCCCATCGAGAAAGATTGTTATGAATTTTAATAACGTTTCATTGATTTTTTCTATCGCGGTTAGTTATTTTGTCGAAGCGGTCGTTCAACTTTTTAATGGAGTCCCACCGTTCATGCGTGCATTGTGTTTTTCCAATCGGGTTTCGCTCGTCTGTTTTTACGATGGAAGATAATCAGGAAATTTGCCGCATAAAGTTCGATATATAAATAATATTCAAAAGCAGAATAATTTATATTTCCAAGCTGGCCTTGCGAAATCTACTTCTCGATAAGAATTAATAATTTCACCCCAACGTCCTTTCCATCCATTCTTTTTTTTTTTTTCAATTTTTATTCCACCTTTTTGTTTTACGATATTGTCCGTGAATTGCATAAATTTCAGTAGACCAGCGATCGCCACGGTTTTATTTATACTTTCCCTTCGAACACCATAAATCGTGGAGGAGGAAGATACGCTGCGATTCTGTACGCTGCTCCACGCAGTTACAGAATTAATGAGTCCGATGAATGCGCTTGTTGTTCCATCGATTTTCCATTTGCGGCCATTTTTTTGGACAACGGCCAGAACCGGGGGTGGATGGTGAAAAAGGCGGAAGAAAAATATGAAAAAAAAAAGATCGACACATTCGAACGTGAATGAAAAACAGCGCGGGTCTTCATCGAACCGATGAATTTATACTCGTTTAAGCTTTTCGTCGAATTCATCTCGATCTAAAGTTCATTAATTGTTCATGAAATAATAAAATAATGAATATTCCGGATGCAGTAGAACCATTGGAAAATGGTTTGATAGGGAAACGTATTTCCAGGTAGAGATTTCTTATCCAACCGAGCTTTCGATCTTCCAGCAGTTTCATCTGATGGACAGCATAAGTCTAAACGGACCAGTCAGAGGATTTAATGAGAAATCCGCTTTGCGTACTTTTTTCACTGGATAATTGCCACTTCGCATCACGTTAATTGACAGATCCATACCGCGCCCTTTATCGCGATTATGAGAAATCGACGGTAGAGAAACCGGGTTTCAGTTAATACTCGACCATTTGTCGCTGCTCGTTTCCGATAAACGTATTAAAATTGTAATCAGAGTTTCGAAGCCAGTTTCTCGTAAATAGATTTTAATCGTTTTATCAAGTTATCGTATATTTTTGATTGCTTTTTGAACGCCGTTACGCGATGAAACATATTAACTTTTTAATCGTCCATCAAAAATTTATCAGCGAATTCGTTGATTTTCATAAAACATCACCAACAGTTTGCGTAATTTCGCGAGATCCTTTCTAAAACTGAATCATTCGAGTTGATGCGAGCTTTCTTCAAACAAACAAAACATTTCCATAAGAACAATATTTACTCGTAACAGCACACGATCATCGTAGGATTAAAGTTTCGTAGTATAACGGTGGAAATCGACGGTGAACAATGAAAATTTATGAAATCACCTTAAAGCCAGTCTGCACTCTCCGCGATAGCGGAGCACACTTCGTAATTGGATTAAACCGATGAATCATGGTTGTTAAACTGTTTACCTTATGGATCAGCATTCTTCTACGTTCCTTTTCTGAGTGCACAGCATGAGAATTTCTCTCTTGGAGGTAAAATAATAAGCCTGATTCATAATACTTCTCCTTGATATCCGTTAGTTACGACTGTTGATCAGACGTGCAATCGCACTTCTTTAGAAACATTACCAAGAAACTATAAAATATTTTATTATCCTCTTCGTTTCCAACGATACTTTATACAAATTTCAGAAGGAAAAAAATAAGGAAAAGTTAAAGAAGAAACATAGACCAACGCTGTATTCCTTTTCCAAGGAAATTAAATCCTATTTTGCAATAATTCTATGTTATCTAATTATATTGTGATAACGATAACAATTAATTAGACGTCTGCGCGATACCGCGTAGCATATCAAGTAGTATAAACCACGTTTAATCAGACTCGCAGAGATAATAGAATTTTTCAGCCAAAACCGAGTCCAAAACTAATCTCTCGTTGTTTCGTTATAAAAGTATAGTACAAAGACAGGAAACTAATGAAGTCTAGCTCTGAATTACCCTCCAAGGGTAATCTAAACGTTAAATTATCAAAAACAAAGGAGAAAGAGCCCTCTCCCAAAAGAGTACACGAAATCCCCAACATCCAAGGATCGTGGGAAAAAAAAAACTTGTCCCATCCGAAACGAAGGTGGAGGACGAATAAATCACGGGCGATAGGAAAGCATCCTGGTCCCGACGGAACCGGGAGCGGAAATTGCTTCTGATTCACCGTAACCCCGCGAACGAAACGGGGTCATGCGGTAATCCATGATCGTGGCTCGTTATCCGCTTCACTATCGGTGTCCATTCTTCGTTTCCGATCCTAGATGAATCCTCCTTAGCGATTCACCATCTGCTAACCGACGATGGTCGAGACACATTGATACCGGCCGTGTGAATTAACCGATATTCATAATTCAAGGTTTTATCTGTGGGAGCGCGGCAACATTGCCGGGATATAATTTCAGAATGGCAGGTGCAGGAGGAAACCGGGGTGCCATGTTCGCCGGAAACTATAGCTTATACGACGTGGTCTGCAACCAGCGTATCTCACCTTCCGTGCTTTCATTATCAGTTACCATAGATCACCGGGTGAGCCCCAATGACATCGCATCCGTCCATCCCTCATCGCGAAACGTTGTTCAAGACCAATGACGAGCTGTTTCTCTGTTACCCATGTTCCCGTGATGGTTAATGGTTGAAGGGTTGTACGAACCGAAATGGAAGAAGCTTAATGTTCCTACTATTATAGCTACGCTTCTAATTAAGATTTCCGAGTATTCCTGATACCCTATAGCTACCTCGGTAATATTCAAATTACCTGCTTCTATTTTACAATCGACAGATTCACAGTGGAACTATCTTGATCGAAGCGCATTGTTTCGAACGTCTACGGATACTCGCCACGATCATTGAAAATTATTCACTGAATAAACCGACGATTATCCCCCGTTCCCTATAATCGGGCCAAACTCTATTAATGCTCGATGCTGCGTTGAAACACAGCCAGACGTTTCGTAATCGCCCCTTGCTCTTCATCGACGTTGTAAAAGGTGAGCCGTGTAAAATCCAATTAATCGGCTTCGATTTCATCGTCAAGAGATCCGATAACTTAAATTGATTTCCACGAAACAAACGCTCGAGTTACGTAAATCTAGCGAAGATTCTTCATGCAGACGGGCAACAGAGTTTACGTGAATTTATTATTAAAATGTTTGCGCTGCGGGCTGTGAAAGTTTCCGGAAATTCGTCGGGTAAATACCGCGAGCGCCTTGTAAATTTTAATCGGGAAAATTGAATCGCCGATGGAAACTCGATAACCACGACACCACAAGGAGAAACTTAACAAAAGCGAAGGAAGATTTCACGAACCTTTACTCGCGGAAACACGGCATCGAATGTTTCAATGCTAAAATAGCAGCTCGTAAATTTTCCGTAAATTCTACGAACTTCTAACTGGATTCACGAACCGACGAGGTAAACTGTAATTTGACTGAAAAGAGCAGCGGGGAAAGCGGACAAATCGACAGCAGGAAACCGCACCGCCAGTTGAAATCCCTGATACGACGAGTAAAATGGAAAAAGGCAGAAAGCGGACATCATCCAAGGTAAATAACAAGAGGAAACCAGCAGTTATTGCGTGGCCGGCGAAGAGAAGCGGATAAAACTATAAACAGCGAACAGAAACGAAGCGTGTAAGTTAAAAAGAAGAAACCGCTGGTAACGAGAATCACGCGGCAGCCAAGGGAAAGTCCAGTGGGAAACAAAGAAGAAATTCCGGCACGGGAAAGATAAAGGGATGGGAGCGAGGGTGCGAGAAAGCAGAAGAACGGGCGAAACGAAGAGGAAAATCGTAGAATCGTGAAGGGAGGTAAACGGGCTTGAAAGAATAGAAAAAAAGAATGGAAAAGGGTCGGGCTTGGTAAAACGGATCGCAAGAACGGCAACAAAGATAGAAGAAACGGAAACGGAGTTGCCAAGGGAGTTCTAAATCCCAGGGAAACAGAGCAGGAAAAGCGCAGCGGGCAAAAAATCAGAGGGCAAACACAGAGGGGAAAGAAAAGTTGACAGAAATGAAGGAGAAAAAAACGGTGGAAAGTAGCGAACCGGTACTCAATCGCGAGCAAACATATTGGTATCGGATAAAAAAGAAGTGATTCTGTAAACACTTCGACTGAAGATCGACGAGAAATCTATAGGAAATAAGATACTTGGTCAAGAAAAAAATAAAATAAAAAGAAGGAAATGGAACGTCAAGAGGTTTCGTTGAACGCAAAATCAACAGATAAATGGTAAAATGAGAATAGAAACTGGAAAAATAAAAAGAACAAAGTGAAGAGAAATTTACGGGAAAACAAAATAATTTGTCAGGAGAAGGAATAAAGTTTTGAAGTGGTTGCTCGAAATCAAAAGGGTACGGTAATGACTTCGATAGGACAATGGGGACAACGGACAACTCGAGAACTTTACGAGCTTTGGGACGTTAATGATTACAATAATCGGCAAAGTTCTCTCGGCAATCATCGCTACCGCAAACGTAATAATACGATCATCCTAATAACCATAGTTGGCGTACGGTTTTATATGTCCATCAGTATGTTCTCGCCGAGTTTCAACCGACACATGCAACGGTAGTTCTACTACAGATCCTATCATTGAGCGTCGAACGATGGAATCTTCTAGCCAGTTCCCAACAACTACCGCACAAAGGATGAAATTGAAATGACATTTGAATTTCCATGGGGAACGCTTCAAATTCCGACGCTAGTTGATGTCCAACAACTGGAACTGCTTAGCATTTTCCTATTGTATCGTATACTTTCAAATAAGCAGATTACGATAACCTTGGGATCATTGTTTTCTATTAACATGTTGTCTCAGTGAAAATGTCTGTACATAGTCAGACATACCGAAATTTAATTTGTTAAGGATACGAATGATTAATTATCAAATTTAAGCTCACTAGTATAAAAACGTCCAGCAAAAAGTATGCAAGTGTTAAAAGAAGGTGAAATGGCGAACCATTTTACAATTAGAGACTGACCTTAATATTGTCATCTAGAGAAGACGTAGCTTATGGTTAAGTGAATTAGCCAGAGGTTCAGAAACGCCCTGGAGACCCCGTTACCGTCGTGCACCGCAGCTGGCAGCTCTCCTGAAACGAAAAAGAAGAAGAAATTAAATTAGGTGACATCAGTGTGTTTACTGAGTTACTGGATCAATTTTCTATCTACTTTCCTCCAGGATCTTTCATTTGTCGGTGTAAAAATCCTCAAAAAAGAAATACGTTTTATTTAAAGTACAGAAGGATTTACCATCCCTTTAGAAAGGGTAAAAATTATTCATACAAATATAGAATCTCTCAATCTTTTTACGAAACTTTAAATCTCTTGAATTCTAGCCAACTCTATATTCCCTTTTCTTTATTTTTACATGGAAAATAGTTGTCGGCCACAATTCACGCAGGCTTTACCTTCTCCCATAAAGCTTCCTACCTGTTGAAGCGTCGGAAGCAATATTACTTGAAATAAAACCGACACCCATGGTAGAGTATCACGCAATCGCACCATAGGTGCTTCCTCTCCACGGTCTACAGTAAATCACGAATCGTTTCTACTAAAGCCAAGAAGATTAATCAAATCTTAAATTCTTCGAAATATTTTCACCTAGTTGAAAAATAATTTTTGGATAAAAATTTCTGTAACTCGAATCTAGCTCTACGGTTATCGAACTTTCTTAAACAGAAGTGGTTTCCTTACACAGGAAAGAAAGAAGATTGAATTTTACAGAGGAGGACAATGGAGAAGTGATCGATAGAAATGTGGAGCAAAAGTCTGGCAAGTAAAGATCAATCGAAGAATCGTGGAAAACTGGACGACGTCATGGACTCGCGTTCACGTAAATCACGCGGTCGAATATATATTTTATTTTCCAGCGTAGCCAGTGACAGGCTTGTAAGCGTTCGCTCGCTAGCTCCTGGTGCTCGTGCCGTCGACAAGAACACATTTGTCATTTCATTAATGGTTGTTCCGTCTATAGGTTTTCTGTCAGCCGCAGCCCGCCGCAGCTTGACGTATTTTGGTGGCGTCCGTTTAATCGCTCTTCGACCGAGTTACGTTTCCTAGATAATAGTTCGAGGCACCCTCGGCCTTTCATGAAATTAGGCAGTCCTTATTAATGGCTCTTATGCCGCGACCAGCCTATCCGCTTCACTCTTCAGTCGTTCGTTCAACCGGAAGCGCCCATCGTTCAACCGTTTAGCCGAGCGACGCCCCTTTTCGCTCGCAACTTTCCACTTCTCGATGCATTCGAGTTTCCGGAAAAAGCGCGAGTTATTGTGTTATTTCGTCGAAGAACAGCGAGCATTTAATCTTCTATGGAGGGCTTTTAAAGTAGAAGAGGTACAGTTTCGAGAAAGGTAGCCTTTCCCTAGGGAAAATGGCAATATAAAGAGAGGAATACTAGAGTTACCTGGCGTCGGGTTTTATTTCAATATCGATTAAAAGATTCTGATTTTACGAATAAGACGAGTGACAATTCTTGAAGCTGCATAATTCGCTCCAACACAGAGAATTAGAAAATTCCCAAGGGAGAAGGAAATCCAGCACAGATTGAAATGGAAGTTAATCACCGGTGTCCGGGATCTGAGATTTCCAGGTAGAAAAATAGCCACCCACCTTGTCGAGCTGTCGGGCTGTGCCCTACTGATTATCGATCATTCGAAACCTCCGGAGGATCGAAGGAACGTCCTTCCGGTTCTTCGACGAGAGCCTGATAGAAAATGTGTTCCTGGCCGATGTCCAGGATCGTCTTGGAATTTGTCTTTCTCGATACCCTTTTTCCGACCAACGTAACATCTTCGTCCTTTCGTTTTCTTTCGAGAATTTTTCAATTCGATGCTTTCGCACGTCTGTCCCCTTTCATCGGCTTCCACAAGTTTTCTTTTCTTTCAGTAGAATTCCTCCTTCCGGTGAGTTTCACCGACCGACTCTTTGATCTTTCAATTTTCCCTGACCCTGTCTGTCTGGCAATTTCCAGATTTATTTTCTTTGATTCACCGACATTCCTTCGCCGCGAGACATCTATTTATTTGCTTTCTTTGGATCGTTTTCCGTTTCAGTTTCCACTCGCGCGGTAAACTTCTTTCTCTTCAGTTAGCTTTCCCTTTTCCGCACCATTGATCCCCTTCTTTCTCACCTAGTTTCTCCATCGTTCTCTTTACATCCGTCACTTCTGCTACTGACCTTCTTACATTCTTGTTACTTCGGTCGGTCGCTTAGGAAGTTTCAATAAATCAACCGGTAATAATTTTATATCTAAGAAATCCAAAGCCCAATTTTAATGACACCTGAAATAAATGATCTCCTCCAAATAAATGATCGAATTTCGCTAAAGATTTCCACCCTTCGTAAACGTCACATTTCTCTTTTTTCCCCATGAAACCAAGAGCCTTTTTCCTTCGATAAAGACAAAGGGATCCTCGGGGTTAGCGTTCTATCAGAACCGAGCCGGTGATAAACTTGTCAAAATGATGGCCGCAGGGATAAAACGGAAGGTCATAGGTCAGGAGGACCGTTTCGGCTCATATGTGGAGTTACGCTTCCTGAAGACGGAAGCCTCCTATCGAAATCACGTGGCAGAATTTACTATTGGTCACTTCCTGTCCTCGTAACTTTCGTCTAGCAAACCGACCCGTAACGTTACGATCCTCTTGTTGCGATCGATTTTATCGAACACTCTAAGGTATCCTCGGAAGAAGAAGAACCGTTCCCGAGGCCTCTTTAGAAAGTCGATTTTAACTTCACCCTGTCCATTGAAACTCGAGGATCTTTTAGAAATCTTTTAGAGGATCTTCTTTGATTTCGTTGGGTGTTTGGCGAATTTAAATAGACCAGAGTCGTCGAGAGTTTCGGATAAATCGTGAAAAGTTGACCCTCGAATGGCAGAGCTGCAGCTTTGCGTTTCGAGGGTTGATAGTTGAAAATTTAGTTAATTTTATTTTCTATCGATAAAGAAGGCAAACTTTCCTGTAAACACCACAACAATAAAGAACACCATCTTCAGAGCATGACACAGTTCTATAAAAAAACCTCTTCGTGATCTAATCAAGTAAAAAGGGAATCACAAAGTTCGAATTATCAAGAGCCGAGAGTACTTCAATTAGAATCGCGTGATCTTTGCGTTCATCGTCCTCTAATTTACTCTACATCGACAGACAAGAAAGAGAAATAAGCAGATCAAGCCGCAACACCAAACTTACTCTCTTTTCAAGATTTCTCTTCGAGCGTAATCTGTAAACAGGGATGCGGATGAAAGGTTCACTCGTCAAGCAACGTGATAAAAGCTACCTGTCTCCCTCAACTTTCTCCCTTTCTTCGTCTTTGATTATCGGCTCTCTTCGAATCCGAGGCACGTATACCTCTGCTAAGTTATTTCCTCCAAGATGCGACACGTTCGCCGGATTTCCGAAAGATGGACGGGATTGCCTTTTGAATGAAAGTGTCATCGTCAACGATATTTTAAACTACATAATGTGTATCTCCTTTCTTTTCTAGAGAAACATTTATATTGCGATCTAAATTGATTCTCGGAACATTTCTTCGAGTAAAACATTTCCTGCAATGTTTCATTGGGATTCAAACACAGTAGATGGTAAACACGCTAGCTTTCAGAAAAGAATTTATGTACATATCGAATCGGGTTCGGTCGCTTCGGTAATGTTAGCTTCGATAATGATCGCTTCAATCGCGTTCAGACACGAATGCCGATCGATTGAACGTCGAGGTCAGTTAAACCCAGTCAATAACAGAGAGTCAATAATCCCTTGGTTGATAATCTAACCAACCACTTCTCAACAATCCTCTAGCAGGGAAAATGCTGATAATTGTCGAAAATTGTTGAAAATGATTCGAGAATCGGGAAATCATTCGTTCCTTCAAAATTGAATAATATCTAATCTTGTAAGTTTGATTAGCAATTCATATGGGTATAAAGTTCGATATCGATCCGGGACAATGTATCGAGCTTGTGCTTGTTTCGTAACTGTAATGATCAATTTTCCGTTCTCTGATAATTAATCTTCTTACACGGTGTGCGGCCGACTCAGGCTGAAATTGGTCTAACTCTCTAATTGTGCTAATTACCTTAGCAGCTTTGAGCAATTCGAATGCTCCGACGTTTGACATCCGGATAATTATAGGCGCGTCTCGAGTACATTCCATTGTCTCCTTTCGCCGTTCCGATTGTACCTAATGGATGATTAGCATCATTATTTATTAACCTTTCGACCTATTAATTCTTTCATTTTACCATGATCTAACGTTTTAAAATATTTTATATCCACGACTGTTTCCCATAAGAGGATCGTTCAATTTTCACGAAAGAGGATAACGTGCCACGGAACCGTCCATCTTTGGCTTATTATGTCGGTCCGAGGGTAGCGGTGTTCTTCCGTCGAAACGTTAGCTTGGGATAGCATTAGAAACGAGACCGAGGAGAGTCACGAACAGTCAAACATGCCGGGATAAGGCTTGCAAATGGAGGAAAAAAGTGGCCAGCACGATAACGCCATTCCCCTTCTGTCGACTCTGCTTTCATCCTCTCGTCTATCCAACCTTCCAGCTTTCACGCCTCCGACTTTTTTAACCCCTTTCTCCTGTTACCGGTCTTCTCATTTCCGACGCGCCGCGCCGTCACATTAGGCTGGCGGCGTTTCCATTTTCATGAAACGCGCCTCGTCGACGGCAACGACGACCCGTTAACGCCAACGGACGAACCCTAGCGCGCATCTAGATTGCATCCGTGAACCATCCTCACCCGCTGGTTAATCTGCATTATCGCACCTTTCCGTCGGTTCGAACGTTTTTTCACCAGGATGCTGAACCATTTGTGGACCCGATAGATGTTTGATTATGATAATCGGTTGTATTTGCTTTTATGGAACGCTATTAGGATATCAAAAGCATTGTCAACGGATATTAGTGGAAAAATGTTACACAGGGGGTTCTGTAATTTGATGGTAAGAGGCAATCGTAGGATTTCTTTGTCTATGGGTTAGGTCTTGGATGCAGAAATAGAGCTGTAATAATGATTCCAAAGAGCAGTAAAATGTCAAATACGGGTTAAAGGGGTAAAAGCGGTAGTATGTTCTTCCACGTGACCACAGAACTCGGTCGACTTCTTGGTGGTCAAAGTTTCGCGCGTCGTTTCGCCGACATTGTAACGGGGCGCACGTTTTCAGGATGAAAGAAGCTGAAAGCTACCGTGAAAAGGTGCTCTCTTGGCGGAAATCCTTCTGCTTTTACGACAAGGTTGAGCTTCTCTCTATCCTTGCTCGATTGTGCGATTCCAGACACAACAGTCGTTTACCATTGAGAATATACGTTTCACGCTCCAGCGGGGAACAAATTCTAGACGAATTCTACTCGATCTTCGTCGATTTACCTCTTAATAACTGGCGGTCTCATTGGAATTACAAATCGCTTGTGGAGCACCGCTATCGAGAGAGTAACCAAAGGGTAACGCGAGATTAATCTGGTCGTTAGAAAGGTAATCCGCGATCGAATTACTTTGACCTCTTTCCAGAGAATCCATTCTTTTCCCGGCTCTTTTTTCGAACAGAATCGATACGATTTAATGATCCGTCTTCGTTTCTGACGTTACCAGCGAATATTGTTAGAAAAATTGTAACACGATCACTTTGTTTTGCAATCTTCCTTGGGTAATTATCCGGTTGTTCGAAAGAAATTTATCAGAAATTGGAAAACCGTTGGTGGAAGAGCGACTACATAATCTTGCAACAAAATAAGAAAAGAGCAAAAAATTACATTACAAGCGGAGCAGAAGGCTATCCGTCTTCATGATAGGACAATTTCTCCGTCGATTTACGAATGCGACGTTATCGTATCGCGATCACGACGAAAATTCGTGTTTCACCCTGGAAGACAAAATGGACCGGCTTTTATCTCGCCTCAGGATCCTAGAGGCACACGCGCGATTAGGCATCCTGGAATAGGTTCAATCGACCACGAGCCAAGGTGATTCGCTCCAACGACACGACGTTCTCCAAAGGATAATGTTGCGAAAACACTCTGGCCTTTCCACCCGGTGTACCTTTCCTTCTAGTTGATATCACGAATTTTCAGCACATTTTATAGGCGTGTTATCCGATAAGGAACTGTTATATCCGACGATCATCGCAAATGTGGCTGAGATTTTTTTATGGTTAACCGATCATCGATGATGTACTGATTATCCTACCTTTATCGCGTTTATAATTTCATATTTGAAGACTGGTAATAGGAATTTTTAATCAACGATATAACGACGTAGAAAAAAAGAAAGCAAACTGTGAAAAAAATCTTATAAATTTGACATTCTATCATCGATCGATTTTCTCCGAAGCAATCTAAATTCTCATACGAATGATGCAAAATGAAGACTTACCGTTCAGCACGTGGACCGCTATGGTGGTTTTCGCTTTCCCTGGCACCACGCAGCTATAGTTCCCAGCGTGTCTAGGGGTGGCTCTCTCGACGATCAAGGTGCTGACGATCACGAGGACCTCCTTGCCGGACGAGGTCTCCGTCGTCCTGTTCTCGCTGGAAAACGAGATATCCGAGCGTAACCCATATCCGGCTCACGTACCAACCTAATACCACGTATCCATGCTATGGTGTGGAGAAAAGGGGGTTCAGGCGAGGAAAGCAGAGGGTCGATGAAACGCGAGAAAGCTCTCGTTTCATAGATACGGGGTCTTAAGTGGGTCTCGAGGCGTTTTTCCTCTCGCTTCTCCTCTTGGAGTTTGATAATTTCATTAACGGTGGCTACAAGGTAACGAGGTGTTTTGTGAAATTGCTCCCCGCCGATGGTTCCCGTTCGGTGGACAGGATAAGGGTTTCGTGGCTCGTTAAAATTATGTTTCTAATAAGTGTACTCGTTTCAGGGTCGTTATAAATTCAATTGGTGGTTATTAGGTCGGTCAACATCAAGTTTATTTAATTTTCCGATATCTCCTATGAAAAATGTTCGCAGTAGCGGATTAAGAAAACTCACCTGACATCTTCTGTCAGCGTTTCATCTCCCCTGGTCCAAACAACGGCCTCGTTGAGTGACTCAATGACGTCTCTAGCTTCGCACCTGAGTTTCAGGGCGCTGCCTGCCTTTAGGTGCCTCTCTTTAGGCACAACTCGTCCAGAATCGTCCGTTATTGTCAATTCCGGCGCTGAAAATATAAAATATCGTTTCCTCTGATAAACGATACCCATTCCGAAACACCTTCGCGTGTAGCAGATAAAGAAAATTTCACGTTCTGCGAGGATATTAAACACAAATACTCGAGGGTTTCAATTACCAGGAACAGCGATAAAAATGCTCCTCCCCCGTGCTTGGGATTAAAGATCCAGGTAAGAGTACGATTATGCGAGGTCACGTTGAATTACATTCGCCGTTAAATGTATTCATAATTAACAGTCGTAAAGCGACAACTCGTTCGATATCTCCGGTGACTAATTTACATCGTATAATTAAAGCATCCCGCAATATCCTCGACAGAAGTGTACCCGTTAACGAGATGTCGGACGATCGCTAAGAAATCGTTTATTAAAAATCACCACCTTTCCTCGACCTATTAAAATACACGTATTAAAATAAGGACATTTTCTAATTTAAAAATTAAGTAACTAATCCCAACGAAAATTCAGCATATCAACTTCCTATCGGTTAAACAGGTTCAACAGCGATGCCGGAAGTCAGGATATCGTCGTCAGTTATCTTTTCGAGTATCCAACACGGTTTCTGACGAATGGGATACAGATAGGAGATATCGGCACGTGACCATTCATACAAATGACGAGAGAAAGAAAGAAGAGTGAAGAACAGGGGATGTAAGTTGTAGCTTTCGCAGGTTTCGAAGGAAAATCGACGTCGGGAAGCGTTCGTGACCGGCAGAGTAAACGCTTTGAAACAGTTAAACATCGACGATCCTCGTAGCGACGTCATCGGGTTCGACGCCTCCCACACGACTCTCTTCCAGGTCGTCGTTAGAATTCAACACGGTCGTCCGACTACGATTCTCGAGTAGGCCACTATGCAAATTTCCTCTCGTCTTCTTATTACTTTTTTTTCGCCACTTTACACACTTGTATAGGAAAACTTTGACGTAACAGAGCTACCTTGTTCTACTTTTATCCCGAATCAAATAATTGATCAATTGTCAAAACAACCCTACCGATTCCAAACTAAAGCATCTACTTTCCATTGCTATCTATCTAGGACGAAAGCGAGCCACGAGGCACGCGATTCAGAAAAACAGTGTCGTAACGATCCTCGTCAAAGGACAATCTCTACGAGCGTTGTTCGCCAAGTTGGGATGATTTCCAGGACGGAACGACAGTTTCGACTTTATCGACGACAATTGTTACGAAAGTAAGCGTAACGTTATACGAGGGAATCTAAAGGGAACAGGACAGTGTCCCGTTTCTCTCGCCGTCTTTCCGGCACGGATTTCGTATAATTCAGCGATTTTCCACGGCGGATGATCAATGTTCCAGCGGGTCGAAGAAGAAAAAGATTGTACGGCGTCGGGATGTATCGACTGGACGCGACGGTCTAGCGGATCAAAGGCGACAAGAAAAGTCTCTTTCTCGCTGAATTCAGCCATATATTCGCAATAATTCAACGGGTAACCGCGTTTTTGCGTACGCGTGACTGAAAAGAAATTCCTCCTCGCTTTCCCGTGGCAGGAAACGCGCGTGCCCGGGCATACTTTCACGGATTGCTAAAGCGCATCTTTGTCGCGCGGAATTCCAAAGACGCGGACAAACGCGGTCGACGAACAAAACATCGCCGGGCGTGAAGTAAAATTTTATTCCGACCAGCAGACCGCAACCGTTCTGTCGGGTGTATTTTTTCTCCAACTCCGCGTCGCACGGAATTTTCAGAATTTCAAACACGCGCGATGACCCGCGTCGCGTGTTAATAAAATTTCTATGCGACCGAGCGTCCACGTCCCTCGGCGAACCCTAATTCGAACCCTCCGGCTTCTGGCAGAAGAATTTCTTTTCGAAGGAAGAAGCAGTTTAAAAATTAAAAAAAGTACCTTCGCAGTTGCAGAGGGTAAATACAACTTTGGAATTATTCAAAAAATGGTTGCTGGGGGATATGTAAATTCGGGAGTGACCTCAGGCGAGTAAATTGCAAATAAATTCTAATTAGAAACACGCTGCTGTTATTTCTTTATCATTTATTCACTCAACGTTATGCGCAAATTTGAATATCTCATGGCATCCTAGAGTACTGGTAACTTGGCAGACGGATTATGTAATCTGATACAGAAGTGATTTCGCTGGTGGACTCAAAGGCAGTGCCTTTGATACACCACCATAAGCACCCTTATCCATAAATGAAAAATCTAAACCGTGGCGTTACCCTATCGAATTTCTGTTTGTCTAAAACGCGTCGATCAATACTTCGCGATACTTCTATTCGAGCCTTAAGTTTTCAATTTATATGCAGCCGTAGGTTAGCAAGGGATATCGAACACGCGAGGTTTTCGTCGAAACGTAAGCGCCACCGTTCAAAACCAGACGAATCTGCAAACTAGATCGAGTTGCACGTACGATTCATCTGGAAACAGAAAATCTGTAACGTCGATCGACTGCGAATCGCGTTATCTGACAGACAGATTTGTCTGCTATCGTTTGCAAAAAAAAGAAAAAACTAAACCATGGATCGGGTTATCATAAGGTGCACGGATAGATCGGTCAAATAGATGAGCCGAGCAATTTATCATACCGGGCGAACCTCGTTACTCGATTGATCGTGGTAGATAAATAATTGTTCATCGAATTACGAATGGATCCCTTGGATTTTCATAGAAACCTGCCGACATCATGATTACAGTAATCTCCTTATTGAGAATTGATCAAAATGGGTAATTAGATTCGTCTGACGATGATCACAAGGAATATTGGTAATAGTATGCTAATACGAATCACCAAAGGTATTAAGGATTGATTATCAGGAATTATTAAGGATATTAAAGATTCTTGTAACGACAGGTCTGAAAGGATATCGAGAAAGGGTGAGCATTCGTGATGCGGAAGCGTCGGATCTCAGCTTTGCTCGACGAACAGACGCGAGCGGAATTCAATGGAAAATTTAATCCGACGAAATCGGAGCGGACAGGATTGCGAAACGGGACCACGATCGAAATTTCTTTCGGCTGATCATTTTTTAAGCTCCTTTAGGATGAACGTTGAACGCGACGAAGGAAGAACGTGCATCCAACCGGATCTCCGTTTTCCATGGGGATCTTAGAAAAGTCACGGAAGGAAGGGAAGAAGAAAGACAAGTATTATTTAAATTGGATCTCGTATGACAACTCTTCTACCAGTTTCGAGAACCGATCTTCTTTCAACAGTAAATTGTCACTGTATCTTTGTCTGATACAGAAAATGTACCGAATAAAAACCTAGAGATAATTTTTAATTACAAAACTAATTTATTTCCTTCGGACCTCGGTAAGATGCAAACTTCTCGGATCGCGAATTTGCATGCTCGGGGAGGAACTTTCGTTAAATATGAGCGCGGCCTGTCGAGGTAAGAAGACGCGCGAACGCCATTTCTCCGCGGAGAAAGCGTGTCCCGTTACCGAGTGGATTGTTTAAAACGAGCAGCTTGCAAAATATCTGCTGGCAGAGGTTCATTACGCAAATAGAGGGAGTCCATTAAGGCGGCAGAGGTCGTGCGTAAATTTTTCCCCCTCGACGCCCGAGCATCCGGTAGGAAAGAAGTTTCACCGAATGCCAGCCTCTTTCCTCTCTCTAACTAAGTCATCTTTCTTCCCCGGACAAAAGAAAGCTTCCACGAGTTGCTTTGACCTTTCAAACATTACCTACGACTCGCAGATGGTAGTACGGTTAAAAGGTAGCTCGTCGAAACGACCCGGTTCCGAGGCTTCTTTAAGTAGAAGAGGGTTCTGGGGAAGAACGTCGAAGAATCCGCTTCTTCGGGCCAATAACACGTAGAGCAAGCTTTACGATCGTCTCTGAAGATCCTGTTGGCAATATTTACGACTTTTCTTTGTCCATTTTGGGTCGGGATGCTCGTAATTAAATTTAAGTGCTCATACCGGGATACCTTCTCGTAGAATATGCTACCTTCGTGAAAGCAGCTTTCCTTTTTATTTTCCGATCATTCGTGCTTCAACGAGACGATCCTTTTCATTTTAGCAACCGTCAAAGATAGTTTGAAGGAAGAGCTTCAACGGAAGTGTGAATAGTCAATGACGAAGATAGTGATCAGATAGGCGGGGGACAGACGAAGATTCATGAATGTTGAATGCAGTTTTAAACAAATTTAATTGAGCATTCATGAAGCTTGAATATTCATCGGTGTTATTGACGAACGTTGTGTTTCATTCATGCAGCCTCTGTCATTGTGTCCCGTTTTCGTTTAATCATCCGCCAGATCGATTTCTCATTCTTATCAAGTTCCGTCAGTTTACTGTATCGAATCGAAAAATAAACGAATACTCGAAATTTCGACGGATTCATTTTTCTAACCCGTATAAACTCAGAAAGTAAAAATACAATTTTCTATTAACATTCTAAGGATCCAAAGATGTTCGACAAGGAAAGGGTGTAATAAAGGATTGGAGGATAAATTGGTCCACGTAAAAACAGGCGTCGCAGAAGCGTAGCAAATATTGTCGCAGCCTTCACGGAGCTAACAAATGGAGCACGATGAATGCGTATCAATCATCGTATTAATCGTATCGATGATCGATGACCGGTCGACGGGACACGTCTGCTCGTCGACGGACGAGGCCGCGTTTCACAAGTCGTTCCGACCTGCTCGTAGCTGCTGTTCTAACGTGACAAATATGCAATTTCGAGGAACACGGAAAGTGCAGCCGCCACGCTACCCTGTATAACGTTTTAACGTCATGTTTCCCGTTTCGAATACAAACAACCCAGGACGAACGAATTCCCTTGTTTCCAGTAGCTTGATATCTCTTACAAAGAAAATCAGACGAAATCCTCCTCTTTCCGATGAAATTTTACAGGTTTAATAAGATAAAATACCACCTAGCTTTGTTTATTTTCTTGTCGCTTTATTTTCGCGGGCGACTTAGGTGCGAGTGGTCGTATTTTCCGTGATTTCTGATTCCTTCGATACTTCAAGTCAACTGGAAAAACTGGTCCGAGTCGAGAAATTCACGCTGGAGAGAAAGAACACGTAGCAACGTTTGCTCAAAGGTATATTTATTTCTGTGATTGCTACTCTTGACCAACGTGCTTCTTATCGAAAAGCTTTCAACATCTTATAAATCGATACCACCCTGACTCGAAAGAAACATTTTGTTAAATAACTCGGAATGCTTCGCGGTAACGTAAGTGGTGTCGGTAAATTATCAAAATTTTCAACGTGATTACTCGTCGGACTGTAATTGAAAGGAGGAACAGTAAAGAATCGTCACAGAATCCTGCAAGGAAGCGCGTTTACCCGTTGGAGCCCGAATTAAGTAGTTCGATCAATCACTGAGCAGACCGAAGCAGCGTGTCGCGGACCTACGATCAATCATCTCCTAACAAATCGTCCCCCAGTGAAATTTATTTAATCCAAAAGCAGCGAACATCGTTCTTATCGATTAATTCTTCCTTCGAATTAACGTTAGAAGAAATCAAAGGTACAGGCTGCATTCGTCGAGCGAGAAGGAATCAAAGAAATTCCAACGAGCGAAAGACGAATTGACGATTGACAGAGAGCAACAGAGAGAAAGAGAGGAAAGAAGGGAAAAAGAGTCGTGTAACAATGTCGGTTCATCCGGGTTTGTTCTGCCCTACTTCGTCCTTACGGTAGCTTTTGTTCGTCGACCAAACCCTCTTCGGGTCGGATCAGATTACTGGCACGGGGCGCTTTGGCCGAGGAAATGCGGGTTTCCATTGCACCGAATCGGCGACGTAAGGGGATTGGGAAACGCGAGACCGGCAATACTTAGCCGGCAACCCTTTATATCCCCCAACCCTGACTCGTTCCTCCCTTTCTTGGTCTTCGATGTCGATTCGAACCAACGAATCGTCCACTATTGGTCAAGCTTCGCTTCTGATGCGAATGAGATTCTTTTCTTTTTTTCTTTTGAAATCAGAAACTACCGGATATTGAACCAAGAGTATTTTTTTTTAATAAAAGAATCAAGCGAAAGGATCACTCACCCGTGACGACGACGTTAATTTTCTTAACCAAAGGTGGATGTGTCGCAACTTGGCACTTGTAGAGACCAGAATCCCTCGGAGTCGCGTACAGGATCTGTAATCTCCAGTTGCTTGGATACCTGCAGGATGTAACAGGGAATCTTACTCGCGACTCCTTTCAGAAATCCCTTCGCTTTTGTTAGGTTTAAAGCGTTAAACACGAATTACTTTCCAATCGAACAACTTGAATTTTATTTTATATAAAAGAGGTTAACGATTAAACAGAAATTATTTCTCTTACCGAAAGTTCAGAGTGATCCTTTGATCCGCGCTGTACGGTTTCTTGCCAACTGTGAGCAATCGAAGGGAATCCTTGCTGTGCTGTTGCAGCCACGTCACCTGAATCAGAAGCGAGAAAATATCTGTCGTTATTGCCTCGTAAATCATGGATTTCTAGAAACAGTTGGGTCGTAGTAAAATAGACGTGGCATTGTTTCGATGGCGAAGGAATTAAACGGGATCTCGTCGAAAGGTAATAATTTCACGGTAAGGAATCGAGAAGCTCTATTCGTTGAATCGTCCACGAATGAATACCGTCCTGCAATTTCTCGTTAAGTGTTCGAGAAAGCCTGGCTTACGTTCTTTACTCTACTTGCCCGTCTTTTCTTTCCTCTGCACTCCGTCGTCATTTTTTCTTATCATCCCGGATCCCTGTTTTATACCGTACGTGACGAGTGTCGCGATAGAGGGATACCAAGGATTGTCAAGCTTTGGCTTTTGTCCTTGGAAGCTACCATGCTGATATTTTCTCTTCTCGCTGAATAATTACTCGGGTAAATCTGTACTTTTCCTTTGCGACTTTTCATCATTTATAATTGCAATTATTCAAAATTCTCGAACGATTGCTTATAACATAATACAGAGATAATTATAATACAATAATACGATTTACTGATTAATCAAACAATCCGAGACTAGAATAACTATCGGCACTAAATATCAAACGAAAATTCACACGTGAGTATCGAGTTTAGAGGCTGTTTCTCTTTCCGCAAACGATGAACAGGTTAAAATAATTCCCTGGGGCTATGATAATTGCGTTAACCAAAACATCATGAAACATTCACTTCTCGTGCGGCGTGCGATCATGAAATTTAATAATCGATCAAACTACACCTCGCGCCGACGTCGCGTCAACGCGCCCGGCTGAATGAAACCGATAATCGGCTCCGCGGTTATCGCTCGTGTCCGCTCTGTTACGCGACATCGCGAAAATGTTCCACCTTCCAGCTGGTAAAATTATACCCCATTAAACGAGTAACGTTTCATGCAAATGTCCCGTGTATTCCATTCCGGACTTGTTAATTAATCGACCATGAACATCGTCCCTGAAACGCGATACATCGACGCGACGGAGAATAATTTTCAGGAAAGGAAAAAAGGAAACGAATTCTTGAAAATCGACGCATATGTACGTCGACGGTTTTACTTGTACCCCGACGAAGAGGTCGTCAGAATTGGTTTCTCATTACGTATTCCATGGAATATAAATTCATCTGGAATCCGAAATGACTTCTCGTCTGGCCGTCTGCGAGAGGACAACGCGGAATTCGACGAGAGCTGATTACAATGCGAAAAGTTAGCCGACGACGCTAACGAATGATGTTTGCAATTATAATCGTTCCGTTTTCGGCCCTGTTGTCTCTCGTTCGCCAGCTGCGTTTTCCGATTAAACGATGAATAGCCCAGCCCTCCCGAGAGTTGCTGCTTAAGCACTAATTGCGATGCTTTCAACCCAGTTGCGTGCCTTTCTTTCGGATTACTCGAGACTGCGAGATACTTAATATTTTCGAATATTAAGCGAGTCGGCTTGTTTCTGATACCGCTATGTCATTGACACCAAAGAATTTTATACAAATATTTCAACAATTTCACTCGACTTCTTTGTAAAGAAGGTTCCACGATCCTAGATGATGGTGTATTTCGAAAATTGGGTAAGACATTTCAAGAGAATGTTGCTTAACTTCTACAGAACGTGGAATCTCAGTTATTTTAATCAAGTAAAATTGCGTTCGTCAAAATTATTTGTATACGTCGAGAATCCTACGCCCGAAAGTTTCAAGAGAACCTCTAAACATTCTAATATTCCTTCTTTAATTAGAAAGAATTACATATACGATTGTTCTTCAACGAAACAACATTCGAATCAAACTTTTCGATGGCTCGTTTGTATCAATCTCAATATTTCCGATTTAACACAGTCGAACACTCTAACCGGAAGAGAATACACGAAATCGTAACGTATGATGCTATCTGTCATCGTTACACGATACTCTGTTCTCTCTGTACCTCTCTGTAAGAGATGTTTACTGGCAACAGAGAAGCAAACGAAATGTCGAATTTCGTTGAAAAATATATCAGGCAACTTATAACGTTAAAGCTACAAGTACTAAAGCTCTTATTTTCAAAACAGTAAATAACAGTGAAGTGAATAGTGATAATAAATTTTTAGTTACTTATCACCGGAAAATCCTCGGATTTTAATAGCAGAACAGATTGAATATTAAAATAATGAAACTTTCTCTCGCGTAAAATACACGAACCATGGGAACCATCGGAGCTAATAACAAATAAGTTGCATTTAATGTATATTCTCATCTTTGAATAATACGAGATTTAATGTGTATCGTGTGAAATGAAATAAAGCAACGAGGAGGGTTAATAACGAAACAGGAGATTAAACTCCGACGCGATACCTTCGTTCGTTGTATTCGTTGCAAATAAGTATGAAAAAAAGGAAAGAAAAGATTGCATCGAATGGATCGTTTTTTAACATCAGGTACAGGGTAGTTTCTTTTTCATTTTACATTGCAAGTAATCGAGAGGGTAGCGAGTTTCGAAGAGAAAATTTCAGCGGGTAAAAAGAATCGATCCGTGTTCTCGCCTCTCGCTTCATCATCGTGATATCTCTTTATCGTACGTCACGGAGACCATAAAAATATAACAAGACCGTTGCAGCCGGTTTTTCATCATGACATCGCCCATCCTATTTTCCAACTTGCATCAGCCACTGTCTCATAAAGGCAACGGTATTATAAAAGCAGCTGAAAGAGCAACCGGCGAAAGGGAGACAAAATAAATAAACTTTCGCCATCGGAATGAGATCAAAAAGAGAACACATTGAACATGTTATGCCTTGCAACAATATATACATATGCCTTTTTTGATATCGTTACCTTACGAACAGAAATCCTGAGAATCGTAAAATAAATTTCAGAGAAAAATAAAATTATATTACCTCTTTATCACCAAGCATCCCGATCTTGCAATCGAGGAGCATCTTGCTCCCTATCCTGGCAGTGATATTCATATCCTGATCCCCATCCTCGAAATAAGGACCAAATTTGCCGAACGCGCTGTCCACGCTCGGCAACACGAATTTCTTTCCAGGCAATGGTCTCTGGGTGCTGCTGACTGTCTGATCGTCCTCCATCTCGGTCTTGATCGAGGGTTTTATCTCGTAGAAACCCTTGGTGGACTTGCCTCCGGCTAACAGCAGATTGTTCACCGGTCTGGAATGATCCTTCCTTGTTTCACCTGGATTTCTCGGTTGTTCTTGTTGTCGCGTCTCCTCTCCAGCTGCTGGTACTTGGAACGAGATCGCCCTGATGTCCTCCACGTTCTTCTCCTCGATCTGCCTCGAGTCGGTCGCGATTGTTTCCCGGCTGGACGTCGTAGTGAAGATAAAGTCTCTCTGTATCTCTACTTTCAAACCATTTGTTATCCCCTGTTCATCCAGGGTGTAGGACGCTTGCTCGTCCACCTGGACGCGATTTAACTCGTCTTCGCTCTTCGAGGAAGCTGTACTAGAGACAATCTCTCGAACAGACTCGGTCGACGTAGGGAATATCCTACTTATGCCTTGGATTTTGTTATTACGTTCCACCGGTCTCTGTTCTGACTGTTCAGGTTCACGTTCCACCTCGTTCTGTTCAGCCGCGAACGATACGGCTGCGCTTTGATCCCTCTGAAGTTCAGCACTGATATCTTGAACGAGCCGTGTCGCGTTTAACGAGTCGTCGAACCTTGGTTGAATCAGTTGAGAATCGTGGAACATCTCGCTGTCGGTGCTGTTCTCGTGGATGGGGTCAGACTGGTTCCTCTGGTTCTCCTCATTCACTTCGGGATGATTGATACTGTGCTCGATCGTGTCGCTGCTCGATTCTGCAACACGGAACAAAATGCATCCTGTGTAGGCGTTTAGTTGTGCAGAACTATTTAACAAGAATATCTCAGCCCTCGGCTGATATCAACCACTCTATTTATTTCAAGAGACTTTCAGGAGAAATACGCGTCATTTGTAATTTTAGGTCGAAGTTCGATATCCTTCCTACTCTGCCCCACCTATATTCTCCTCCTCGAGTATCGACTCCTTTTCCAACCGCTCTTAAAGCACGTACCGACGATTTGTTCCTTTCAAACTTCCCTTTTATTTCTTCTTCTATTCGTGTTTTATATTTTTGCAACGTGCGTATCGCAGTTAACGAATCCGTTTAAAGAAAAACAAAGAATTCTTTCGATGATATCAAGACAAAGATCGTCTTGTATTTCAATAAAAAGGAAATAAAGATCGAGCAACTTCTGACCCGAATTCGGACGACACAAAACCAACAGCAACTCGACGAATGTCTATACCTTTTTCATGATATATCACCGGGAATCAAACACCACGTCACCTTTTGTTTCTCAGAGTTATTGTTTTAACTGGATTTTCGGTCGATCGTCTGTCACGTCCGTTCCTTCCGGCCGATTGAAAGTGCAACATGAATTTAAGAGTAACGCCATTGTGGTTGTGGTATATTGTGTGGGTAAATGTAGTTACTTATTCAATATTTTTATTAAAGAAACCGAAATTTTAAAGTAAAAACTTAACTTTCCTTTATAAACACTTATTTAACAATTATTTATCGAAGTATTATTTTTCCATATTTCTTTCATTACTTTAATTTTTTTTAATAACTTCAAAAAGTTGTGCTAATTTTCTCTTAATTACAGGTCCAGGTATGAACGATCGGTCACGTAACGTCGCTCGTCGATCATAATTTACAGATCTCACAGTCGAATCTGCAGCTCATGAATTCCGCGGATCATTTTTGCGGAACTTGCCTAGCAAATGGTCGTCGAAAACTTTTCCCTTCTATCTCGACCACGATGCATTTTCGTCCGTTCGATTGTTTTATCATGATCGATGGGGAGTGAGAACGTGTTTACAGATCGAACGCAAACGATGAAAGTTTGTGTGTGAGAATGAAAAACAGATCTACTGTTAGAACGAATCAAAGGAACGATTTAAAGAGCGAAGCTCTAATCGACGAATTGGAACAATTGATTTTTCTTTTTATGCATAAATAGGTAAGCGGCAGAAATCCAAAGAATAAAAGAGAGAAAGAAATTCTTTTTGTACAGCATCGTGTGTGACACTTTCGCGAGAAAATATCGAACAATATTCTATTTTCGATGGCAAACGCGACTGATCTTCGACATGCGCGTTGTTTGCGCGTAAACGAATTTTCCGCGATTATTTCCGGCCGGTGGTCCGCGTCATAAAAAGCGACGAACTGTGATCTTTCTGCTCGTGTGTCGAGCGTTTTTTTCGTCGGATCGATCGAGCGCGTTAAACGGTCAAAGCGTTTATTGTCCGACCGAACGGAATCGCTTACGTGGCGATAGCTGCGATCCGAGTAAATAATCGCGTTCGTTAGAAACATTTGGGAAATCGTGCGAACGAAAAGCGATATTGAAGTACTATGTATGTGCTGGCTATGTAAAAATACTCACCGGAAGCTGTGACAGTAATCATGACGGAGACAATGGCGATGACGCCGAGCGCCGATGCAGTCGGCCGCATCCTCCAGCCGGTCATATCAAGGATCCGCTCGCTCTCAACCTTCAGGAATCTGCTCCATCTCCTTCATCTTTGTTCTGTAAAAATAAGAAAAATAATCTGTTAGAAACTTAAAATAGAAAGATTGTATCAGATGTGCATTGACCGTCACACTGAAATTGAATAATCAAATTGAATTTTCAAATAGAACCAACCCAATTACGTACCTTATATTTTTAATAATCCTTTCTATTTCTCTGTAATTAGATTCGAAGCGTCGATCACCATTGACCTACATGACACTTACGTGTCAACCCTAAAAAGACCATCGGGTGCTCCTGTTTTCCTGGGGTTAATACCGGAAATAATCATTCGATCAATCAGTCACTCTTCACCAGAAGATCAATCAATGTCTTTTACCCTTAATTCACATTGGGGGCAACGAAGTCGATCCTCTTACACCAGGGCAGGATGTTAATTAAATTCCGCGGTCGTTCGAGTTTCGACGAACGTTTAATTAAGAGAAACTTTCATCGGTTCTCGAGCGGCACTTTTTAAACTCTTCACCGAATCGGATTCACGCGGTTGCGGCTTATTTGCAAACAGTTTACCCGTCGATCGCATTCTTCATTGTTTTCGAGCATAGTTTTAGGGAATCGTGGAATCTTACCGGGATACTTTTCTGCTGATACGAATTCATGTTTATGAGTTTGTAATTCGTTCAAATACCCACGGTTTATTAAAATTATAGACGATATTAATAATTTGACAATTGTTGATATTTAGAACACAGAACCATCGTAATTTAAAATAATTGGTTCGCGGAATTTAGAACAGAATCTTGAAAAGTTATGGACGCGCGTAATATACAAATTTCCATATAACCAGAAATTTTTGGGTTAAACCAAGCATTCGTATTATAGATGAGTTGCGTGTTATATATTCGAAATTTTACGGCCGTCGTAAATTGCTGAAACTAAAATTTCGTGACCGGCAATTTCAATGTTCATTTACAAATATTCTTGCTACAAAATATTAATCATTGAACAATGAAAACACACAAATTGCAATTGTTATATCATTGCTTCTATTCAAACAGCGATACACGATTTTGAGATACGATTTTTTGAAACACCACTAAATATATAATTTTTATTCAACACCTATATCCGTTATGTTTTACTCGAATCCCGACAAAAATTTAATTCAATTTATAGCTTCACGGGTGTGCGAGTATAAATTGCAAAAGACAGGGACTGCCGTGCGAATTTATTTTTTCCAAATTCGGTCAACAGCACGCGTACCTACAACGTTCCACGTCGCGGACAGATTTTCATAGGAAAACCGATCAATTTCCTCCATCATTTTCCCGGATATAATATCAAAATCGCAGCTGTCGAAACGGCGGCCTGTCGGGCGTGTTTATTTCGGTCAAAAAAGCAAGCTGAACGCGCTGGCTGACACCGATACGAACCGGTGTATATCCGAGACAATTTCAACCCCTCGCGATCCCACGGGAGTTTATGAACAACGTTGGATACGGCAATGTTTGCGCCTCCCGGTGTCAGGCACCTGTAACGTTATTACACGAACGCGTGTAATATATCAACGCTGATATAATATGCGAAAAAGGTTCTGCTTTATGAATTTGAAACTCGCTTGGCAAGAGAAAATTGAACTATCCCGAAATATCCAGTTTTCACGATTATCAAGAACACACGATTTCTCACCGAGTTACAACGGATTTGGAACAGAGTTACATAGTAGCTGCATTAGACAGTCCGATAGGGTAGACCGCGAGATCACACACGTTAGTGACAAATCTCGGTTGGCTCGCAATTCTAACGTTTAATCAGACGCGTAATTATGTCTACAGAGCGCAATGGTCCTGGGCAGCTGCCACTTGCCAACTGGAGACGAATGAAATTTCCCTTGCGCGGCAAGTCAAATATCACCGTGATTACGCGATTTAACACGGTCCTGCACGCCGTTTCCGGCTCTTGCCTGCGACGTGCCAGCATCCGGCCGCGCCTTTCCTCTTCCATCCTCGTTCTGAAGTAATAAACGTTCACGTGCTGGCCCGAGAGTGTTTCACCGCGAACCTACGCTTTGTTCGACCGTTTCAATATGTCATGAAGTGCTTCAACTACAACTACAACCGTCTACCTTCCCGATATATCCTTTTTCTTTCCTCTTTCATCATTTCTTCGAGAGTTCGTGGGTCTCTAAATATCTGCTCCTGTTTTTTTTCGACGGATAAAAACACGAGAGAACCCGTCAATCAAATTTCTTCATCATCGTCGTGTGATTTATTAACGAAGAGGGTGAAGGTGTTATCAGGAAACTTGAAAAAAGTTTCCAAGTTTATACGTTTTCTCGGCGAGAGCTAAGAAGGTGTTGAAATATCGGGCTGCTTTAAACAACTTCCACGACGAACCGAAAGAAAAATGAAGAATCTCGATTAATAACGAAGGAAGTAAATCGGATTATTTAAGGTCAGAAGCAATTTGTCATCGATGAATCGAAGTGTACTTTGAAAAGTTTTCGGAATGAGCAGAAGAAGAGGAACAAAATTCGGGCGAGATTCCAATGGAAAGAGCCGCAAGAAACATTTACATATTCCTGGACTCTGTTTGACAAAGAAATAAGTATGTCAGGGTGGGTAAAAAAAAAGTGAAAGAAGAATTTCGTGGCGAAATCAGCGTCACCTAGATTCCGGCGAGCGACCGTACGAGTTTGGTCGATACTTTTATTCCTTCGACGCAATCCAATCAAACATCTACAATTTCTCACGCGAATTTCACGAAGTACCATCGTTTCTTGCAACTCCTCGCATCCGTCGAAGCAACAGAGCAATTTTCTTTCTCGTCCATTCTCGTGGGACAAACATTTCGAACTTCATCGAACGGACTCTCGAAAGCTGACCGCGGTCAAACGAAGACGATCGTACGAAATTTATTCATAGACTTCAGAAATATACAGTCTGATGCATTCTGATAATTTCTCAAAGAACAGATCTCTTCGAAACAATTAGAAAGAAGAAAATTGAATTAAACGGGGAAGATATCTTCTAAGCTATTTGTAACTTAGAAAACAGAGACTAACTCCTGCGTCACGTTTGCAACAACAGTCAGCATGCGAACTCGGAGGTTGTGAAGTTACAGTGCCAGCTGAGTGAATTAAAGCGTACCGAGGACATTTATTTTCAGTCAGAGAAACGTGCTAGTGTTGTACTGCAAATTATTCAACGTCCTCTATAAATGCTCCTATTAACACTTTGGCGAATGCACATTTCGTATAAATAAACTTGTAAAATTTAAAATTACACTATTGATAGATACGTACTTACTTGATAATTTATGATACCGTACACTTTCGATAATTCAAATCTAAAGTTTTCGTAATGAAACTTTCTAAAAAATGGTACATTCAAATGAAAAGCATTCGTGGAACACGTAACAAGCATTCAAGTTCATTGAACTTTGGACTCAAAGGGTTAAGACGATTCGACAGGAAGTTCTCTGATCGAGTTACCGAGCACAGGTTCGATATTCGAGGTAATCGTAATTCTCTGGGGAAGTCTAGACTGACTGATGGAAATTACACTGCAAGATAATCGAGCTTCAAAGAGCAGCTGTAATATGTAATACTAGCCGCAATTAGGAGACTATGGTTCACCTGATGTGTTAAGAAGTTTCGCTTTCCGGAAAATTACATCTGCTCGCTTCCCTGATTGCTCCCTCGCGTTAGCGAGAACCGACGATTATTCATTTCTTTATAAATTCTAGCTGTAACGTTTAATTTGTTATATCGAAACTGTTTAGTCATAAAATATTTCTAAAATATCGGAGATTCTTTAGCGGCGCGCTTTAATTAAATCACCATCTTTCATCGAAGAATTCGTTCTTCGATAGAAGAGAGTTTAAAGAAATTTTTATCTTTCCTCGAGTCATCAATTTTTAATCACAGTCCTTCAGATTCCGATATAATTTATCAATATTTAACGACAAAACTTTGATATCCATCGTGATCCTACGGTAATAAATCATTCGTTGAATAAAAGTTCAACTAATCAGTTATAGTTTCTCACTAAAAATGACTATGAAAGTAAAATAGGTACAATTACTTAACTTCAGTTTCGATTTCCGCAACTGCAACGTTTTAAATCGCCTTTTCACCCCTCTCACGAGCAAACATCGCCACTCAAGATTCGAAGGGTGGTTGCTAGAACCTCGAGCCTGGAGCAGGTATCAGCAATTTAAAATTCACCGTGTGACAAAGAAGCTTAACGACGTAAAGAGACGTAGAACTGCGTCTTGGGGTTGATGGGACGCGTTAACGATGCGATGCGTTCGATCCTTCCCATCCCCTAGCTCTTTTACGAAGACGTAACGAGCTCGTTCCATTAGAGAAACTCTGCTCTGAAGGGCGGATTCTTTCTTCGAGGTACTGTTGATCGCGAACTTTCAAAGACCCGTTCGTGATTAACAATCTCCGTCTCGCAGATGCAGTTGCGGCTAGTGTTCCCCCCTTTTTTTTTTCATTTTATTCCTCTTTGAGTATCGTCCGAGGCTCCTTTGATTACGCCAAACCATGGAATAGAAGGAGCATTGATTGCTGTGCATGACTTCCTGCTGCCACTGTGTACAGTTACGCGTTTCTTTGTCATCGATATAAAAATGCCACTCCTCGATAAATTCACTTAACTCCCGGATGAATTTTCTCCCGAACTCGCGATAGAACGACAAGTTTTTCCATGTATTAGTCGGAAAACGAATATGTCAGCTGGGAAACTTCTCCTATCAGTTATTTGCTTTCACCCTTAAGCACACTCATCTTTCACCGAACTTCCCAGTGGATATTTTCCTGTTCCTTTGATCATCTCCAAACACGTTACATGAATTACACAAACTCGGGGCTGACTCAAAGTAGAAGTTCGATTCGGTGTTCATAGTTGGAACAGGACACAGAGCAGCTCGGTATTTAACGTTCCACGATCCGAACCCTTTAATCCTGTTTGTCTATGACTGCACACGAGGAGTTCGTTTCAGCAGAGGAACAGGCACGTTAGGAACATACGTCTCTCGGCTAACGTCCT